TTACTATTGGTGATTGCATGATATCGTGATAATGTATGTCAAATAATCACTCATTGACTCTACAAGTCACGTCAATGTAAATATTGGTGATTGAATAATATCGTGATAATTCAAGTCAAGTCATCACTCATTGATTGTACCAGGTCTCGTGAATATCAATACTGGTGATTACATGATACCGTGATAATTCAAGTTAAATAATCACTCACTGACTCTACAAGGTCACGTTAATGTCAATACTGGTGATTACATGATATCGTGATAATTTAAGTCAAGTCACCACTCATTGATTGTACCAGGTCTCGTGAATATCAATACTGGTGATTACATGATACCGTGATAATTCAAGTTAAATAATCACTCACTGACTCTACAAGGTCACGTTAATGTCAATACTGGTGATTACATGATATCGTGATAATTCAAATCATGTCATCACTCATCACTGATCAGAATTTGCATAGTTTGGAAAGCTAATGAGGTCGTTCCGTTGAATGAATGAATGAATTATGCAATCGGGATATTCATTATGTTTATATTGAAAACCAAATTTATATTTATATTTACCTTTCCATCAATTTATCGTAGCTCTATTCAACCTAGTTGGAATGAACGACATTGTGTTATCAATGCAACGCGATGGTACAAGAAGTCCCAAAGACTTGCAGGTTCAATGTAATTATCTTATTTGTACGGTCATGCTCTCCAGAAAATAGTCCAACTGCTCTGTTTGGAATGACTAATGGTTATGGCCCCAAACCAGACCAAAACCAATTGGGTTTTCTATTAAAACATATGATAAAATATATTTTAACAGTATAATGTACATACTTAGCGCGTGATTTTTCACGACTATTATCTACTAACACGTTTTCAATGATTCCGCATTTTAATTAAACTAACGTCAAACATCATATTAATGACAACGTCTTTACTCTTATTGTAATTTATACAGATTCAAATAGACACAAACGCATGCCAAAAAATATAAAACATTGATTAAATGATGAGAAAAGGTACAATACAAACATACACGACACTCTGTACATTATCAATATTAATCAAAATAAGAATAATTGCTTTATACTACCAGTAAAGGTCACATTCATAAACAATCTTGAGATGTAATTAACATTTCAATACAATAGGAGATTGACTGTTCTGCCCAATTGCTAGGATCGTCATACATTTAGTTGGGAGAAGGGCATCTATCTGTCTGTCTGTCTGTCTGTCTGTCTTGTACATACCTTTGGAGTATCATTCAGATTTTACTGTGCTTGTGAGTATTGGTAATTCGTTGTGAATGACAAAATTGAAATGACAATTAAATTGTGATATTTTAAATATTGCAATCATTTACAAATGATATTTTTGATATTTGAGCTGTTATATTGTTGCGAGAATATGATTTCAGCTTTCGAACGATCTGTTTGAAGGTGTTCGTGGCTGACTCGGAATGTCAGCGTTCATCGTAATTTGGGTTATAACGTTTAAAGTGAGACCCTTTGTCTCCGCTGTTGCCGTTGGGGAATAAGCGCATCGCCACTACAAGTGTGTTTTTCTTTGACTATTAACAACATCAAATAAATGGGGATACCAAAGATGCCATGAGTATATTTCCGCTCACGTGCGTACATCAACGCAGTACTTACGAGGCTCGTAAATCAAACAAAGACATCGTGTTTAGATGACTGGTCAACCAAAACACGCGACTATGATTTATTCCACTATGCTTTCAAGCTCATATGGCAATTTCCCCTCAGCAGGCGCTGCCAATTATTACCACACTCCTGTCACACATGCGTTTCTTCGTTGTCAACAACTACCACTGCAATTTTGAATAATAATAATGATAATCATCCGGTCCGCGTAGGTTATTCACGGCGGGGTAATCAAGACAGTAAGATGGTACAGTTATTCGGCACCTCGTCACCACTGCGTCTTCCCACGGGGGCTGGATCAGAGTAAAATCACTAAACACGTGACGTGCTGTACTTTTGCTGAAATCAACGTTTTCCTTTCCTTCGTTTTGCGGTAGCTGAGTTCTCTGTGCAATACAAACCACCTTTCTCACGCTTCATCAGGCCAATCAATCGAGGCAGATGCAAAATTGGCATCCTGACTGATTATACGTGGGCATACGTTGTCCATGCACGACACTCCCGAGTGGTTGGTTATAATCTGAAAGGATTGCTGGATACCCTGATAACACATCAAGTTAGATATAATCAATTGTAATCAGTAATATGATTATAAAGACCAGCGATTTTTGCGATATGAACGGTCTTTTGTTTAAATTAAGCCTACTTAGACTGCGTTGTAACGTTTTCAAATTTCAGGCAAGTTTTGAAATTGTATTTGTCATCAATGAGATTTCTTTAGTTGTAACCAGTAGAAATTGTCAGTGGAGCAGTATATTCTTGTCATTGCTCATTAAAATTGATAACATAGTATAATTGGAGCCTTATATGTAAATTGAAGAGCTGCTACGAGTTTAGGCAAATAGCAGAAGGGGGTACTTCATAGAAGATAATTATGTCACTGAATGTCTTGCAGAGGGGATATTCAGCGCCATTCTAATAGGACACTATGGGATACATAGCATAATACACATCGTACCCGGTTGAATAGAGCGACGCCAAAAAAACATTGACGACGTCGTAATTTAGCTAGGAAAAGACACATTTTGGAATGTGTTGGGAGTGGTTCGTCACGATGTAGTACATAAATATCAATTTATCAAAATATTAGTAGCAATCTTTCTCACAAGCGGTGTAAAACAGAGCAGTATTGCGTGGTCGAAGTTCAGGGCAAGGAACCTGAAACTTGTAATTAAGTTCATTATAGAAATGTAAACAAACGAATATAACAGTTATTGCAGTAAAAATCTACTTGTCAGAAAATTGAAAATATAGAAATTACGATTACCTACCTCGCATACACCCACGTACAGCGCGCGAAAACTTGCATCACCATATATCTTCATAGTATTCGTTCTGCGCGAGTGCAAGACGATGACAGACTGAATAAATTATGTAAATTAGGAAGTGGATGATGGTATAATAGAAGGCCACTGCATTGTATTTCTTTAATAATATCTGGCGTCTATCGGGTTAAAAACGGCATCGCCTTCTTACCTGCTGCAAACACAGTTTTATCACTAAAGGTAAGTTCTCATCTCCTTTACAGATTCCCTTTGTATCCATCTCTTAACGGACTAAATATACGGAATCTGATTGTAAATATCTTTCAAATGTGTAATTTGTTTTTGGAATTTAATATTTCCCATGTGGTGAATTCTATCTTTTGTTTAATTACAAGATGTGTCCCTTTTCACGATCACTTTGGAAGGGAAGCGATTATATCTTGATCGATGCTCGTTAGTCATCGTGTATGTTTCATCGAAAGCCGATAACACGTAAAAAACAGAGAATCATACTTATGGAAGGCAAATGTTACCTCTGTTTTCTGATATCAAAACTTCGGTTTATCCGGTTTATGTACCGGAATTCAGTTTTCTGTCAGCGCGTACTGACTGCGCTACTGGTTACAAGATTGTTAATTACGCCGTTAGGTTTCAGTTGAAACTTTATCTCTTTCAACTTGACGTTTAAAACGTCCGATCCAAATTGTCAATTTCTTGGCCGATGTTTCATATAAAAAAATCGAAATAATATTCCTCACCCTAGACTGTTGCCAAGACGACATGAATGACATCCCTAATGCTGATTACAGTGATTCTGGCGCGTCATAAAATACACTCGTTATTCTCGATAGCTTTGATGAATTGACACAATACTAGAGATAACGAAATTGACAAGAAGAAACAAAGTGAATCGACAGCAGGTGAATACACAACACGCAGTTATAATCGACAATGTCAGGCTAAAGTGATTTCACTATATCTAAATAATTCATTTCCAAATTCGGGCGATCAAACTATAATGTAATGATCAATGGATAGAAGAAGCAACATACACTACCGCTGGCCCCGGGCGACTGGGCTGGCTTCACCTGACAGCTTGTAAGTTACCGTGAAATGCACGAAGCTTTCTGCAACTGGAAATTTAACATTGCACTGCACTCTGGGTAATTAGAGATAGCAGTCGCATTAGTACTCATTCTAGGTGATTGTAGCCGACGTAAATACATCATATACAGCAGTTCGATTTAGGAGAATTACCACTACTTGACATTTAGGCATGGAATGCTTTCAGTTTGTGAAATCAAAAAGCATAGGTTTGGATATTACGAACTATACTGTAATTACGTTACATCCATTCAATATAATATATTTATAATACATTTCTCGTTTCGTCCAGTCTGTGCAGGTGCCCTATTTGTCGTAGTTACATGTGCATTCCGGTAAAATCAATGTAACGCATCAGATGGCATCTTGAAATAATTGATCATTTCTCCAAGGATGTCGGGTTTCAACAATTGCTAACTGGACCATTTAACCCACATATGTACATGATTTGATAATATACAACGATGTTATGCTATACTTAAAACACATTACTCGCAGCTGAGGTAGGAAGTGGGGAATATTTTTGTGTTTTTGTGCGAACGTTAATATTGTTTAAAAGAAATCGTTTCAGTCCAGGTGGCTACAGTGATACTATAGCTATGGTAACATAAGTGTCGACGGTAACACTACGACGGGAACAGTAGCGATGGGAAAGACATGGACTTAACTCAGATCTAAATGTGATCAGGCAATTGAAATGGTGGCACGAACGTCTTGAACAAAAGTGTGCGTTGAAGAAGATTCGTCAGGCAGTTTACTCACTAACTGTAGCCGCCGGGTTGCAATAACATTTAGCTGCGTTTGAAATGTATACTTTATATGAACAATCGAAAATTCTGTATATGTTTAGCTGAAAAATGTTCAGGTCACGCACGCTCTGTAAACAATCTTCTCTTCTTTAAGTGGAAAACCGCGTAGAAGATATAAGTAATGATTTTTAATGACCTTCGGTGTGTAATTTGATGGCAGTCATCCTTGCGTGCTTATAATTCACCATTTTCTGCTTCTCAGCCGGTTAGGTCAGCCCAGGCCTTGAGGGGAGATAGGGGGGTAATTCAATAGAGATATACACTACATACACACTCATGCATGGTGATATTAAACAGACTTCACAAAGATCAGCCAGTGATGTCTTGTGTTTTACCATAAATAATTTCAAAGTTGTCATTTATAGGGTTTCTTTCGAGAACCTAGTTACTTTTAGCTAAATGAAGATAATTTTTATCAGCGTATGTGATCTCAAGTAGTGATTAATGTCACAACATCAATAACAGATGAACGCAATTAGGTCACCTTGCTCGTTTCATAGATGCACAGCAGATCAAGATAATATTTTTAATAATTGTCCTAGTTTCCAAATAAAATGATAAAAAAACAACAACATTGGACAACGGTATTATTATAATACTGCTGCATACTGAACCATTGTTTACAGTTTGCCTCGCACGGGGACGGGATGTCGCGCGCATGAGTCATTTAAAATGATAAACTATTCCAGTGCATCTTTAATTTGCTTTATACAGCGTCATTATTCAAAAGTAGACGGAGTACATGGTGTTCGCCGCAAACCTGCGCATTTTGTGGTACTCCAGCTGACAGAACCCAGTTGTTGCGCATTGCGTCATATCCCAGATGACTCGACATCCTGCATTTTTTCGTGGTACCTCTGCTGATTTTTCTGCGCATTTCATCAAACCCCGGATGGCTATCATGTGCATTGCGTCACATCCAAGCTGACTCTTTTGCATATTTCACTGCATCCCCGGTTGACTGTCTTGCCCATTATACCAAATCCCTACTGGCTATCATGTGCATTGCGCCACATTCAAGCTAACTCACCTGCATATGTCTTGGCAATCCAGTTTACTGACTGTTCTGCGCATTACCTCATAATACCGCTGACTATACTGCGCATTGCATCACATCCCAGGTGTCTGCGCATTACAACAGAACCCACCTGTTTATCCCATGCATTATGTCTCGTCCTAGCTGACTCTCCTGCATATTTCTTGGCATCCCAGCTGACTATCCAGCGCACTGCATCACCTCCGAGCTAACTGTTCTTTGCCAGCAAAATATTCAACACACCACATCACCACCTGACAATTGTGCCCATTGCATCACACACAAACTGTTATGTGGATTGTATCAGAACCTCGCCAACTCTCGCGCATTTTTCGTGGCAGCACAGCTGACTCAATGCACATCGCATCACAATAGATTGTCCCGTGTATCGCATCACACCCTAGGTGACTGTGCTGCGCATTACACTACAACCCAGATGAAAAACTATTTATTTCTCAAGTGTAATGCTGTGCCATGACAGTATACTAGTAGTTACTCTAATTTAAGCAATTCTTTGTATTGTAATGGAAAACAAGTCATGATAATCACGTTTAGTACCATATAGCCTATGGTTGCACTGACATTGAAACATAGCTTACTGTTTTGTTAACAAAGTAGCAATATTGTTATTTTGTCAGCGAAATGGAGAGCTATAAGGCAATACTGCTAGTTGGATTTTTCAGTTCAAAGTAGGAAATTATCATTATTCAAATAATTAATTGTCATTATTCAAATAATTAAGTATACGACATGTGTGTTTCAATTTGGCCCGATGATCACACAAAGGATAGTGCTCACTTTATAGGCTAGCAGATACAGTCACCGCTGAAATTGACGACACTGTATCCTACATGGATATAGATATATGGCATTATGGATATCTGTTTTGTATGTTGCTTAAAACACTGAATATGTCATCTCAAGTTAAAATGTTTCGGCACAAATCAGTAATCAAGTGAGATATTGATTTCTTGTATACATCGACATTAAATTTAAATCACAAATACTTCAATTAAACGCTACCTTCACTAGAAACGTTATAGTCGCACCTAATTCAATATGAAAGAAAGGTAGTTGAGTGTCAGATCATTTCGAATATAAAAAAACGGTATAGGAGACATTGCTCTGCAATTAAAAAGATTAGCTAAAACACACACCATTTTTGAAAATCTCTATTTTCCCAAACGAATTAGTTTCACCGTTTTCCGGCAGACCACCAGATACAGTGTTGGCATTTCCGGGATGCCGCGTACATGCTGTCAAGCTCGGCATCTGGTCACCATAGCAACGCCATCTCCGAGTCTGAAATTACACTAGATTGGCACGTATGACGTGTGACAGAGTCCTCCAACTAATGAAACTAATTGGGTTGACCGGATACAATTGGATGTCGAAGCAGTACAGCACAATCCAGAGTCCTCTGCTCGGATGTTCCCCGTGCGTAGGTGATACTAACGACGCGCATTAATCGCGAACAGACCGGAGCAAATTAGTAGACGCATCACTGAACATCACTGTGTCGGGTGGTTATTTTAAAAAGCGAGATGTTAAATGTTAGAGGATCCCTGTTAAAGTCCCGTAATGCATTGTTGGTAACCGAAAAGATTACATTTCAGTAGCTTCCATTTTATTTATCTTTACTGTCACTACAATTTCTCTGCTGTATTAAAGCTAAGAGAAAGGCAATCTTGTCTGAGAGGCAGGTTAACAAAACACTTGCATCTTCTTAACAAAAAAAAAAAAAAACGATTTGCACGTGTGCATAGAAGAATATCAGTAATCACCAAAAATATCCATCCATCGCTGTCCTAGTGAATAATGTATTTATTGTTCTGATACTACGAGAGGGTATATTTGTCATCGTACAATCTGATAGTCTTATACAAGCACACTGAGTTGTATATTCTTCCTGGTACTTTATATCAGTCTTTCGCTAAAGCCGCCCAGTATAGCATAATCATTCTTCTTACGTTTATAATCCTTAGTACTGAATAATTCTTAGTAAATGAATGAATAAGCGTGCTGTGAAAAACCATTGTATCCATTACTCTATCTACCAAATCTGTTTCCTTTGTTGCTGCTATTACTGTCTAGTATTCTTGCAGTTGTTAATATCGTGGTTGATGTATAATCACAGTTGTTTTTCCCCTGGTTTGCATATTTTGTTTACAAATTCTCACATAATGCGAAAAGCCAATGATGATTCTGCAATGATGACAAGTTGCCACTTCTTCTTCTGAGTTTCACTGTGATGTTTATACATCACGGAAATCGGGGGAATATACTAACTC